CTGCTGGGCATTGTATCGGGAGACTCTCCATGGGGGGGGGATCCCATGGGGGGGCAGGAGGGGATCCCCCCCATGGGATCCCCTCCTGCCCCCCCATGGGATCCCCAGGGGATCCTATGGGATCCCCCCCCTGGGATCCTATCCCCCCATGGGATCCCACCCCCATGAAGAGTCTCCCGATTGTACCCATTCTTTCCGTACCCATGTCGGTCGCCCCGAGGTTCTGGAGCCCCCCTCCCTGCCGCGCGGAGCAGGCCCAGGGCGGCGTCGCCAGGGAGGCGGGCCGCGGGGGAGCGGGAGGGCTCCGGGGCGCCAGGCCCCGCGCCCCTCGAAGCGGGGGCTCCGCTCACGGGTACACGCCGGTCGCAAGAAGTGGGTAGAAACATGAAGTAGGAAGCCGTTGGAAGTAGATTGGACTTCCGCCCGCCCCCTGAAGAGGAGGAAAGAAGAAAGACCGCTCGACTCTTGAAGCAGGAAGGCGCCTAAAATAGATATAGGATTTGGGCATCCAAGAATACCCACTTTCAACGACCGGCGTGTACTCTGACCAGTGACCGGCGAAGCCAGTCCTCCCCGAGGTGGGCAACGCTGCCATGCCAGAGCGGCTCTAACAGGGCAATGTTCGGCAACTTGTTCTAAATAAGCCGTTGGTGAAGAATTCCCCGTTGCGGTGCCGCTGAAAGGCGACATGATCGATGGAACCGGGGCGATCCAAACAATTTGAGTGCGACCTGGTCCGTCGAGGCCGGGGCGTGGACGCTGCCGCCAGTGGAACAGGAGGGAGGGAGGGGAAGAGGTCGGGAGAGGATCTACGAGAAGGGAGAGGGGAGAAGAGGGTCGCGGCAGGGATCGATGATCGAAAGAGTGAGGAACAGAAGCATCGAGGGGGGGCATCGAGGATCGTGAGAGAAGGTCGAGGATCGGACCAAGGATCGAGGATCGGATGGGAGGAGAGGATCGGCGGACGAAAGACAGGGATCGCAAGGGGGGGAGGAGGTGAGCGAGTCAGCCCCACGAAGCTTTCCTGGGCGCCTCCCGGCGCCAGAGCAAGGGCTCCTAACTTCGCGCTTCGCGCTGCGCGAAGCGCGAACAACTTCGCGCTCTCGCGCTGCCCCCAAAGGGAAGAAGAGGAGGACGAGGAGGAGGGGGAGGAGGAATGAGGCCCGCGAAGCGCGAAGCGCGACTAACCTCGCGCCCTCGTGGGAGCCCTTGACTCAAATCCTGAGACCCAACGCCGCGACCACGACGGCTGCCCCTCTCTGCGGCAACTGCACGGCTCCAGGATTGGAACCGGAGCGGGAACCCGTAAAAGAACGGCGACAAAACCGGTAACAAAACGGCGTCGGAACCGGCCACAAAAACGGCAAAAGACGGAACCGGTAAAAAAACGGCCCTGTCCCTTCCAGGGCCCACTAAGTTAAGGGGGGACGTGCCCGACTTGACCTCACGCTGCCCCCGGCGGAGGGGGAGCACTGGCCATCGCTCGGACGTCCATTCCCTGTGTTTTTTTCGGTTTCGTGCGTGGCTTTTTCGCCAAATGATCAAGGATGCTCCTCGGTGGTCCTCGCCGAAGGAAAAATGCACACGTCCGAGCGATGCCAGGAGCAGCAGACAGAGGGATCTTCGCCGCGCGAGCGCGCGCGCGGCGGTGCCCTGGCCCTGCCGGCGGAGCGGCCGGCGCGCACGCCTGCAGCACAGCCTACCCTCGGCACCCGGATGCTGGTCTGTGCAACTCCTCCTCCTCCTCCTCCTCCTCCTCCTCCTCCTCCTCCTCCTCCTCCTCCTCCTCCTCCTCCGCCTCCGCCTCCGCCTCCGCCTCCGCCTCCTCCTCCTCCGCCTCCGCCTCCGCCTCCTCCTCCTCCTCCTCCTCCTCCTCCTCCGCCTCCTCCGCCTCCGCCTCCGCCTCCTCCGCCTCCGCCTCCGCCTCCGCCTCCGCCTCCGCCTCCGCCCATCGGCAGCGAGCGCGGGGGGGGGGGGCGGGAAGGAGGAGGTCTTCCCAGAAGGCGGCGGGACTTTTCTCCGAAGTCCTCGCGCCGTCCGAGACGTTCGCGCTGCGCCTTCGGGGAGGGCTTGGAGAACACTTCTCGGAGGAGGCCGGGGAAACTCCGAACTTCCTGTGAGGGCCTTCTAATCGATTCCCCTCCTCGCCCGCCGCCGATCCCAGTCCAGGTGCACAAACCGCGACGCTAGGATCTCGGGGAGCTTCGGTTAGGTCGGGCCTGTCCCCCAACAGGGGGAAGTTGGATGAACAACCAAACATACAACACAAATACCCCAAAATAATCACAAATACTCGAAACATCGTCCCCAGACTATTTTTCCCAACCCTCCGTGGTTGGGTATTCGTTTTGAATTGAACACAGCGGTCGCGTCTCCTCCTCCGGTCTCCCGCCTCCTCTCGCATCCTGCCCTCTCTTCGCCGTTGCTGTGGGGCTGCGATCTGCGAAACTGTCGCCACTTTCGAGGGCTGCTGGTGGGTCCAGCGGGGTGAGGCACCGCGCAGATCTGAGCGGGACCTCGCCGTCCCTGGGGGACTGCGACCTGCGAAACTGTCGCCACTTTCGAGGGCTGCTGGTGGGTCCAGCGGAGTGAGGCGCCGCGCAGATCTGAGCGGGAACTCGCCGTCCCTGAGGAGCTGCGATCTGCGAAACTGTCGCCACTTTCGAGAGCTGCTGGTGGGTCCAGCGGAGTGAGGCACCGCGCAGATCTGAGCGGGACCTCGCCGTCCCTGGGGGACTGCGATATGCAAGACTGTCGCCACTTTCGACGGCTGCTGGTGGGTCCAGCGGAGTGAGGCACCGCGCAGATCTGAGCGGGACCTCGCCGTCCCTGGGGGACTGCGATCTGCGAAATCGTCGCCACTTTTCGAGGGCTGCTGGTGGGTCCAGCGGAGTGAGGCACCGGGCACCGAGCAGATCTGAGCGGGACCTCGCCGTCCCTGGGGGGCTGCGATCTGCGAAACCTGCTGGTGGGTCCAGCGGAGTGAGGCACCGCGCAGATCTGAGCGGGACCTCGCCGTCACTGGGGGGCTGCGATCTGCAAAACAGTCGCCACTTTCGAGGGTTGCTGGTGGGTCCAGCGGGGTGAGGCACCGCGCAGATCTGAGCGGGACCTCGCCGTCCCTGGGGGGCTGCGATCTGCAAAACTGTCGCCACTTTCGAGGGCTGCTGGTGGGTCCAGCGGAGTGATCTGAGGCACCGCGCAGACCTGAGCGGGACCTCGCCGTCACTCGGGGGCTGCGATCTGCGAAACTGTTGCCACATTCGAGGGCTGCTTGGGGGACCAGCGGGGTGAGGCACCGCGCAGATCTGAGCGGGACCTCGCCGTCCCTGGGGGGCTGCGATGTACGAAACAATCGCCTCTGTCCAGGGCTGCTGGTGGGTCCAGCGGAGTGAGGCAGTGAGGCACCGCGTAGATCTGAGCGGGACTTCCCCGTCCCTGGGGGGCTGCGATCTGCGAAACTGTCGCCACTTTCGAGGGCTGCTGGTGGGTTCAGCGGAGTGATCTGGGGCACCGCGCAGACCTGAGCGGGACCTTGCCGTCCTTGGGGGGCTGCGATCTGCGAAACTGTCGCCACTGTCGAGGGCTGCTAGTGAGTCCAGCGGAGTGAGGCAGTGAGGCACCGCGCAGATCTGAGCGGGACCTCCCCGTCCCTGGGGGGCTGCGATCTGCGAAACTGTCGCCACTTTCGAGGGCTGCTGGTGGGTCCAGCGGAGTGAGGCACCGCGCAGATCTGAACGGGACCTCGCCGTCCCTGGGGGGCTGCGATCTGCGAAACTGTCGCCACTTTCGAGGGCTGCTGGTGGGTCCAGCGGAGTGAAGCACAGCGCAGATCTAAGCGGGACCTCGCCGTCCCTGGGGGGCTGCGATCTGCGAAACTGTCTCCACTTTCGAGGGCTGTTTGGGGGGCCAGCATGGCGATCTGCGAAGCTGTCACCACTTTCGAGGGCTGCTGGTGGGTCCAGCGGAGTGAGGCACCGCGCAGACCTGAGCGGGACCTCGTCCCTGGGGGGCTGCGATCTGCGAAACTGTCGCCACATTCGAGGGCTGCTTGGGGGGCCAGCATGGCGATGTGCGAAGCTGTCACCACTTTCGAGGGCGTCCAGCGGAGTGAGACCGCGCAAATCTGAGCGGGAACTCGCCGTCCCTGGGGGGCTGCGATCTGCGAAACCGTCGCCACTTTCGAGGGCTGCTGGTGGGTCCAGCGGAGTGAGGCACCGCGCAGATCTGAGAGGGACCTCGCCGTCCCTGCGGGGCTGCGATCTGCACCACGCAGATCTAAGCGGGACCTTGCAATCCTTGAAGAGCTGCGAGCCGCACGAATGCCGCTCGCAGAAATATATGAGCCCATGCCACTTCATCACTTCCGTATAAAGTCTCCTGAGCTACTCATGCCCCGCATTGCGCAGGGGTTGGGTACGTCGCCAGGGTAATTTCATTATCTTTGGATCTTCCACCTGTAGAGGGACAGGCCCGACTTAACGCCAGAAGGGGGGGCCACGGCAGGGGTGGGCCAGCTCGGGGAGGGGAGCACATCGGCCTGGAAGCGCGGGCGGCGCGCGCAGGAAGGAGGGGTAGGGAGGCAGGGGGGAAAGGCTCCCCGGAAGGGGGCTGCGTCTTGGAGGGCGCTGGCCCTGCATCTGCTAACAAGGCCCGCGCCTTCTGAGAAGCAGCCTCCTTCTGAGAGGCCTCCCCCTCCCCCCCCTGCCCCGCCTCTGCGCTTGGCCGAAACATGGGCGATGCATCGCCGATGGATCGACGAGAGGCCCCCGACAGCGAGGTAGCAGGCAGAGGGCTCTCCGGAGCAAGCGGGGGAGCGAACGAGCAAGAAGGGGGCAGCAGGCCAAGGGATCTGCACTCGGGCGGGTGGTCACGGGGAGTGACCTGAGTGGGGGGGGAAGACCAAGGCCCCCAAGAAGGGCCCTCTGAGGCCCCCTTTGGAGCCAGCAGGGGGCACAAAGGGGCCCTCAAGGGCCCCTGGGGAGGCCCTGATCTTCACCCCCCATGTAGGTTTAAGTCGGGCCTGTCCTCCTACAGAGGGGATTTTGGACGAAAAATGAAGAATAATCAGCACATACACCAACATAGCAACAAAGATACTCAACACATCGACCCCGGACGATTTTTCGACTACTTTTGGATACTCCTCCTTTTGACCATTCCTCTGCGGGACGGGAAAATGACCACAACCACTGCTTCTTGTTTGCGCCGCCTTCCAGCCGGGCGAAAAAGAAGCAGTGGTTGTGGTCATTTCCCTGGTGCCAAGCTCAACGAAAATGACCACAACCACTGCTTTGTTTCTGCGGGCTGGAAGGCGGCAACAAAAGAAAAGCAGTGGCTGTGGTCGTTTTCACGCCCCGTATCCTCCTGTAGAGGGACAGGCCCGACTTCAATGTAGGCCAACCCCCTGCACCACCCGCCCACGCCACGCAGGCGTGGCGCTGCCGTGCCCCGCTGGCGGCGGGGCCCGCGCGCCCGCTTCGGCCCCCGGCCCCCTCGGCGCCTGGCGCCCCTCCCGCCTGTCCAGCGCCCACGCCTCGCCTCCCGCCCCTATCATCCCTCCTCCTCCCCCTCCTCCTCCTCCACCTCCTCCTCCTCCTCCTCCTCCTCCTCCTCCCTTTTCCTCCTCCTCCTCCTCCTCCTCCTCCTCCTCCTCCTCCTCCTCCTCCCTTTTCCTCCTCACGTTTCCTCCTCCCATCCCTCCATCCGTCCTCCCAGGATGTCAAGTAGCTCTGCTCTTCTACATGCGAGCCCGCATCGGCGGGCAGCTCGGTCTGCACAGCGTCTCAGCGTTGGGCACACCTCGGCACCCATTGATGAGCCTGTTTTCCATCACCACCACCATAAGTTGGAGAGGGGAAGGAGGAGGAGGAGGAGGAGGAGGAGGAGGAGGAGGAGGAGCCCAGCGTACCAAGCCGTCTTTCCTAGGAGGAGGAGGAGGAGGAGGAGGAGGAGGAGGAGGAGGAGGACCCCACCCCCCCAACTTATGGTGGTGGTGGTGGAAAACACGCCCATCACCCGTCCCCGCGTGGGACTGTCTCGCGGATGTCCAGGTCCCGACTCCGGAGTCCCTCGGTCCTCCCCGAGATCCTGGCGTCGCAATCCTGCCACAACGGGCGAGTCTGCCCTGTTTCGGGCCCCGGGGTCCTCACGGATCGATCCGGCTCGACGAATGCTGCAGCAAGATCGGGTCCAAGGTTCCGGTCGAGCTCTTGCTGCGACACTGCATTTTGCTCATCCCGCCGGATCCCAGGCCTCTACGCCTCCGGAACTCGCCTCCTCCTGCTCCTCCTGCTCCTCCTCCTCCTCGTCCTCCTCGTCCTCCTCCTCCTCCTCCTCCTCCTCCTTTCTCCTCCTCCTCCTCCTCCTCCTTTCTCCTCCGTCCTCCAGAAAGCATTCGGCTTGAGTCTGTCGCGGGCGACTGGTTTGGAGGGGGGTCCTTGCACCACGACGGGGGGGCCGTGCACTTGGGTCGTCCACTCCCTCTCAATAATGGAAAAGTGTCGCCCCTGACTCTGCCTTGATGAAGACAGTTGGCCGTCGTATCTCTCTCTCTCTCTCTCTTGGCGGCCTCCGTCCGAGTTGACGAAACCTCTCTACGGCCTCACTCCGAGTTGACGCACCCCCTTGACAGCCCCACTTCGAGTTGGCGAACCACCTTGACGGTCCCCAGTGTCGGCCTCCCTCCGAGTTGGCGAACCCCTTTCACGCCTCTCTGGGTCGAGTTGACAGTTGACGATTGCCTTCGGCTTGGTGAGCCCAAGGTGTGGGGCAGAGTTGACGACTCCTCGTCACGGCGAAAGAGGTGGAATCGAACTGACGATCGCTCTCGTCTCCAATACCGGGACCGAGTTGACAACCTCCTGCGGGCGCTTCTCCAGACAGGCGCTGTCTCTCAGCCACTGGCCAAGCAACGCGGTTGGAACACCCCTCGTTGCCCTCCCCCCCAGGGCAATGTCGGGCGCTCGATGAGTTTAACTTCTAGCCGCGAGCCAGCATTGAACTTTTAGGGGCAGGGGACGTAGACAACTGGCGTCCACTTACCATTCCACGTCTGGGAAATTTTGCCCACAAGGCTCCACAGGTTGGAGGCGCCTCTGGCCCTGTGCCGGACCTGCAGGGGCCTCTGGAGGCCACCCGTCTTAGTTGTCTCGGACTTTCTGCCCGAACCTCCGGGGACGTCCAGCTGTCAAGATCAGGGGCGGCACTACAACTTACAACCGAAATCCTGCGTCGCCTGTTCTCCGTCGTCCTTACCCTTTCCCTCCTCCTCCTCCTCCTCCTCCTCCTCCTTCGGTTGACATCTCCCTCCTCCTCCTCCTCCTCCTCCTCCGTTTCCTGCCTCTCCCTGGTCAACCTACTAACCTAGTGCCCAGCACCGAATAATCTGTCTAGCAGCAACTTCACTCCATCTAGCAGGTCCGCGAGCAAGAGTGCCTCCTCTGGCAGGGTCTTTCGGAACTCTTTCAGCTGTTTCTCGTCCGTCCCGTTGAGCACGTACAAGCCACCGATCAAGGCGACCATCAACAACCTCTTCAACATCTGCAACTTCTTGTTGACGGGCTTCGCGGGTTTCTTCAACACCCAGTGGGGCACCTTCCCTGCGGCCGTTATGCGGAACACTGAGCCGAAGAAGAAGGTCAGCACGGTGGACGTCAGAGCGACCACGTTGAATGGCATGCTGAAGTCTGGCATGGGCACGAGGATCAACAACCCCTCGGTGAAGCGCAGCTGCCACTGCTCCTGACCAGCGGGGCCGAACCGCAGAATGTCCCCCGCGCCGACGCTGGCGTTCTGGCCCGACGCGCCCAGGGGCCCCGCCAGCTCCAGCCAGGCGGCGCTGCTCACGTCGAAGCCCTTCTCGCAGGCGTACGAGAACTCGCGGTTGCGGATGAAATCCTCAGACGAAGGAGGCAGAGCAATAAGCTTTAGGAACACCCAGCAAATTTCTTGGATCGGCGCTGGTCCCCCCGGCACCTCCAAGGGATCCGGCGCCGATCCAAGAAATCCGCGCGGGTCTCCGAATATCTGTGTGCTTCTGCTGGTGTTCCTCCTCGGATCCTTGAGCACGTCCAGGGTGACGCTCACGGTGCCTCCCAGGGGGAGGCCAAGGGTCACCACCAAGGGTGCCGCCGCCTCCTCCAGGAAACGAGCCCCAGAACCCCCCATGAGATCCCCAAAGACGCCCCCTAAATGAACCTTGGCAATACGTAACCTCCTCGATCTTCGACCCCCCCACCCCTCTCGTCGACCTCCAGGAGACGGGGGTGACCCCCCCCAGACCCTCCGCGCTGCCCGAAGCCTCCCGGGGGTATGGTGGCTGTGAGGAACACCTCCGTGGGGACCGGGCTGCCCTCCGAGGGCACGAAGCGGAGGTCCAGGCGCCGCATCGCGGCCAGCCCGCGCAGGTGCTCGGGCTCGGACCCGGGCCGCTCGACGGTCACAAGAAACGTGTGCCAGAGGGGTCGGATGAAGAAGGGCAGCTGGTCCATGAACCTCGAAGGCGCCAACGAGACGCCACCGCCGATCCTGGCCAGGCTCGTCCCTGGTCTCTGGATCGGCTCACACGCCAGCCCTGCACTCGCCGCCAGGAGGGCGTAGTCATGCGCTGTCTGTCCGCGGCGGCGGAAACGGTCTGTCGCGCGAACGCGAGGCTGGGGTCCAATCGCGCCCGATGCACGCACAGGCGGGCGCGACACGCAGGCGAAGGCGACCGCAGAGGAAGGGAAGGACGGAGGATGAAGGAGGGAAGCCCTCCTGGCAGCCAGAAGCAGACACATGCACTCCTGGACGGGGCCCAGCACTAGCCTGGCCAGGACCAGCGTTGGTGTCACGTTGGCGCCCTGGGAGCGCCGCACGCTGCGGGCAACCCCGTCCCCGCCGTCGGCCCCGTTGGCGAAGCGCAGCAGGTACCTGCCATGCGTGCGCTCGCTGCGGCCCTCTTGGCTGAGAACGTCGCGCATGACGCTCAACCCCTCCGACCGCTCGCGGCGCGCGAGCACCCAGGGCGCTGGGCCGGCATCACCGCCGAGGAGAAGCTCGTCGGACCCATCGAGCTCGGAGAAGTCTCCCGCAGGAAAGACCAGGGTCGCTCCCCCGTCGGGCGTGTCGATCGCCTCCGCTGCCTTGCCCACGAAGCGGTCCCACGCCGCGTTCCCACGCCCGCCCGACACCCGCACCTGCGGGGCCACCAAAAGCGAGAAGCCCGTGCCCGTGCCCATCTGCCCCCGACCCACTCCAAGCCAACCCAAGGATAGGAGGAGGGGGGAGGCAAGAGAACACGAGAAGGAGGAGCAAGAGGGGGAGGAGGAGAAGAAGGAAGCGGAGCAAGCGAGGACGAAAAAGAAGAACACGATGATGATGATGATGATGATGATGATGATGATGATGATGATGATGATGATGATGATGATGATGAGGAGGAGGAGGAGGAGGAGGAGGAGGAGGAGGATGAGGATGATGATGCTGATGGTGATGAGGAGGAGGAGGAGAAGGAGGAGGAGGAGGAGGAGGAAGTGCTTGACTCAACTGTTCACGGGGGTACCGCATTCTCATGGAAAAACGGTGAGGCCGGGGAGAGGGTCCCCCGAAAACGGCGAGGCAGCCAGGGATCCCTGGCAGACCCCGGGCCATGCTCTACGAAGCAATAATTACAGGAGGAGGAGAAGGAGGAGGAAGAAAAGACGAGGTCGAGGAGCAGGAAGAGGCGCCGAGGCACAAGGAGGAAGGAGAAGGTGGAAGAGAAGGAAGAGGGGGAGAAGGGGTAGGGCGAGGAGGACGATGAGGAGGAGGAGGAGGATGAAGAGGAGGAGGACGAGGATGAAGATGATGATGATGATGATGATGATGAGGAGGAGGAGGAGGAGGAGGAGGAGGAGGAGGAGGAGGAGGAGGAAAACGACGAGGAGAAGGAGGAGGAGGGAGAGGAGGAGGAGAATGAGGCGGAAGAGGAGGAAGAGGAGGAGGAGGAGGAGGAGGAGGAGGAAAAGGCTGAGGAGGATGAGGACGAGGAGGAGGAGGAGGAGGAAGAACAGATGAGGATACGTAGTAAGGGGAGGCGGATGGCACGAACGCGTACGGCGGGACGCGCGCGCGTGCACGCTTCGGGTTGCCCAGGGCTCCAGCACGCGGGTGCTCGCGGCCGCGGGGCACTGGAGGAACTCGCGCTCGCCGGACCAGGCCGCGAGCCCCCGCCCGCTCTGCAGCGGCAGCACGACGTCGAGGGATGCGCGGAGCTGCACGTGCTGGCTGGACTCGCTGACCTTCCGGGGGGGGGGGGAGGGGAGGCGTCAAGGGGGAGACGAGGGGCAGGAGGAGGAGGAGAAGGTGGAGGAGGAGGAGGAGGAGGAGGAGGAGGCGGAGGTGGAGGGGGAGGAGGACGAGAAAAACCAGGACGGCGGAATGGCTGACCTGCCCTGGCCGAAGCGCGAGAGGAGTGGCCGGCCTCACCAGGACCGAGCTCCAGGGGCCCGAGGTACCCCCCCGAGGCGTGGTGGGTTGAGAGCAGCTCGGCTGCCCCGGGCCCAAGATAAGGAGGGGGAGGGAGGTGGAATACGACACAATGTGTGTTGGGACATGTTTCTGTTGACCTCCTAATATGCCCTCGTCGCCACGGCTGGACGCCATCCAAATGATGGTCAGAGCGCACTCCGGGAGAGGCCCGGGGGTCGAGGCCGGAGAAACTGAGGTCCAAGAGAAGGATGAGAAAGGATGAGAAGGATGATAAGGAGGAGAAACTGAGGTCCAAGAGAAGGATGATAAAGGATGAGAGAGCAGCAGAAGCAACAACGAGGCGCATATTCAGTTACAGAAGGGGGAGCTGCGACGGGGGGAGGAAAGATGTTGGAGGAACATGGGGAGGGGCAGCATCAGCAGGGCAAGCGGGAGCAGATCCCGTGCAACCGCAGATCTCCAAACCACGTAGAAGGAGGACCAGGAACCTCCTGCTTCCTCACCCTCCGGCTCCCTCATCCTCCTCCTTCTTCTCCTCCCAGGAGCCCGCGACAGCGACGAGAATTGCGACATGGCAACCTCCCAGGGAGCCGCGAGGTGGACCCACCAAGAGCCCGACGAAAGTGGCGACAGTTGCGCAGTCCGCAACCTCCCAGGGGAGCCGCGAGGTCTCGCCTGCACACCGCCTACGCTGGACCTCCGAGGAGGCCACAGTTGGCACTCTCCCAGGGAGCCGCGAGGTCTCGCCTGCCAACCACCGCCTCCGCGGAACCTCCCAGGAGCCCGCGACAGTGACGAGGCTTGCGGGGTTCGCAGCCTCCCAGGGAGGGAGCCGCGAGGTCTCGCCTGCCCACCGCCTCCGCTGAACCTCCCGGGAGCCCAAGACTCACTCGCTCACTCACGCATGCCATACGCCGGAGGGCGTGGGCGAAAACAAAACACAGGGCCAGCCTGTTCTCAGCGTCCTGCCGGAGCGGCGGCACGGCGGCGCTCGCATGAGTTACAACGTGCGCCGCAGGAGGAGCCCACGACAGTGACCACCATTGCGCGGTTCGCGGCCTGCCAGGGGAGAAGAGGTCTCGCCTGCCCACCGCCTCCGCAGAACCTCCAGGGAGCCCGCAATTGCCAGCCTCTCAAGGAGCTGCGGGGTATCGCCTGCCCACAGCTTCCGCTGGACGTCGCAGGAGCCCGCGACAGTGACACCAGTTGCGCAGTTCGCGGCCTCCCAAAGGAGCTGCCAGGCCTCGCCTGCCCACCGCCTCGGCTGAACCTCCCGGAAGCCCTCAATTGGCACTCTCCCAGGGGACCCCGAGGTCTCGCCTGCCCACCGCCTCCGCTGAACCTCCAAGGAACCCACGACGGCGACGACAATTGCGCAGTTCGCAGGTCCCCAATGGGAAAGGTGCGGCCACGAAAAACAACCGCCGTTAGCGTAAAAAACGCCCTCCAGGCGTAATGGAGAACGCTGCCGTGTTCAGAACCCCCGTGCCCCAAATGTCAATGTTGAAAACGGGGTTGCCTTGGCGGTGGAGTTTTGAGCGTCTTGTTATGCCGATGCTTGCAGGCCGACGCCGGCCACGAGCGCAACATTGAAATGGTCCATGGGCGGTGCCGTCGAAGCCAGGTCTGTGGATGGGCGTGTGGTGGAGGAGAAGGAGGAGGAGGAGGAGGAGGAGGGAAGAAGGAGGGAGACCAGAGTGCTCTATTCAAAGCTAGAACCCAGCAGAAGAGGGCTGGGAGCTAAGCACAACAATCAGTCGGGGCGAGGACCTGGCTCCAGGCGAGGGGTCGAGAGCGCAGCGGCCAACGGCTTTGAACACCCAGCGTCAGAAGGTATGGTATCCCTCCAGCCCATATCCACCTCCTCCCTCCTCCTCCTCTTCCTCCTCCTTTTCCTCCTTCTCCTCCTCCTCCTCCTTACGTTCCTCCTCCTCCTCCTCCTTCTCCTCCTTCATGTCCTCCTCCTTTCGCTCCTCCTCCACTTCTCCTCACACACCGCTCAGGGCCCCCCAAGACTGCCGCCTGACTTGCAGGTCGGCTCCTGGACCCTAGATGTGTATCCTGGAGCGCGTTCCGCCTAGGATATTTGAAACGTATCCAGCCGCGGAGACAAGCGCCCCCTTGCAAGGGCTAGACAAAGCTTAGGTCGGGCCTGTCCCCTTACAGGGGGATTTTGGACGAAACATTTAAAACAGTCAAACCATACTCCAATAGTATTCCAAACTACCAACGAATCGCCCCCTGACTATTTTTGTTGACTGTTTCTGTATTTTCCTCCTGTAGAGGGACAGGCCCGACTTAAGACAGAGTCAGCGACAGCAAGGAGGAGGAGGTCCCCGAAGATCTCCAGATGCCTGGAGATCCACGGCCCCATCGCTGATCCACGAGAGCCGCGCGGACTTCCCAGAGATTGCAGTCAAAATCGATAGCAAGGATGCGCGGTAAGGGTGCACGCCCCTGGGATACACACCCCGAATCTTTCCAAGCGGGGCTGGCCATCGACAGTGGTCACGGATGGGCCGAAGAGGCGAGGATGCAAGGGTATACCCTTTGTCAAGATTGTCCGCCTTCATCGTCGACTTCGACTTCGAGCGGGGCTGGCCATCGAAAGTGCTCACGGATGGGCCGATGAGGCGAGGGTGCAAGGGCACCCCTGGGGAAGGTTACCTAATCCAAAAGCCTTATTAATCGACCCCCCCTAAAAAACCGTACCCCTCTCCAAATGCGACCTAATACTCCAGACCCCCTTCTTCCGACGGGGGGCCTTCATAAACGGGACCCCCTAAGCTCCAATCCAAAGAAAGCGCCCTCATAAACCGGACCCACCCAGTTACAAAAAAGGCGCCTTACAAAACCGATACCTGGGGACGATTAGCAAGGGATTTGGAGTATCTCCATCATCGACGTCGACTGTATCGGGAGCGGCCGAGAGGGGGGTGTCCAAGACGGGGGGGTGCAAATCATGACCGGCGGCATGTGCGCGGCCCAGCGGGGGGGCCAGGGACGCAATGAAGCAAGAAGAGGCGCCATGAAATCTGGGGAAATATCATGGCCCCCGCCATAATATCCACCCCCCCCTACAGTAGGGGCTCGACCACAAGAAACATCGCACAAGAAACCCAACCCTGAGACCCCAGGACGTCCATGCATTTTGGTGCGGGAACGTCGCGCTCTCAATGGCAAAACCATCGTAACCTAAGAAACCCAGGGCACCCTGGAGGCAAGCAGGGTGTTTCTTGGCATGGGTCTCCACTGTAGTCATCACCCCCCTCTTTGCCGCCCCCGACTGTACGCCAAGGCCGATCTGCTCCTGCGGAGGGCCCCTGCGGAGCGGCGGAGCGCAGCGCACGGGCCGCGCAGAGCCGCGCGCCGGGGCAGCGCAGCGCCGCGCGAGAGCGGCGGACTCCGGGCGCCGGCGGACGCGCGGCACAAGTCCACCTGCGCTGCCCCCCCCCCCCCCAAGAAGAGGCAGACGACCCCGCCTTGCTCTTCCTGGACAGCTCGTAGAGGGAGAGGAGGAGGAGGAGGAGGAGGAGGAGGAGGAGGAGGAGGAGGAGGAGGAGGAGGAGGAGGAGGAGGAGGAGGGATGAGAGTGTCGTGGAACCGATCCCCGTCCCCAGCGGCGTGGCCTGGGCCCCGCTGGCCGACGTACCCCCCTGGATGGGGATATAGGGCGTTCTCTGCGGGTTTCGAGGGGTGTACCCACAACTGGGGTGGTAATTTGGAGGGAGTCTCGAAGGGGATGGAGATGGGGATGGGGATCGGTTAACCGATACGGAAGCTAAGAGGGTTTCAGATTAAGAGGCCCGAGCCGCAGGGGAGCCCCGAAACTCGCTCTGGCTGCCGGCAAAACTCCCCGGCGAAGGCTGTGTGAACGGGAAACGGGTCCCGAGAGACCCTTTCTAAGCGTTTCCCCATGCGCTTGCCCCGAAACCCTCCAGAGGGTCCTTCTGAAGCTTCTGGAGTTCTTCGACAGGCCTACGCACGCCCCTCTGGCGCCCTGCTATCTGGGTCTGGGACTCCGCAAGTGGACCACCCTCACTTTGGACCACCCTCGGCGACCGACGCCACGAGGGACAGCGACTTGAGCGGCGACGCGGCCACCTCCAGCGGGTCCAGGAGCGCCGCCAGCCCGCGGTGGCGGCCGCAGGGCAGCAGCTTGAGCCACGGCGTGAGATTCTCCTTTCGAGGGGCCCGCCCCGCCAGAGGAGGGGGAGGAAAGGGGGAGGGGGAGGAGGAAGGGGAGGGGGGGGGAGGGGGAGGGGAGAGGGGGAAGGGGAGGAGGGGGAGGAGGGGAAGGAGGAGGAGGAGGAGGAGGAGGAGGAGGAGGAGGAGGAGGAGGAGGAGGAGGGGGAGGAGGAGGAGGAGGAGGACAAGTCAGATTTGTTTCCAGATGTGTTTCGATCGCAGATCTTAACCCAAGAGTGGGATGAGGATGATGAGGAGGGACAGGAGGGGAGCGGGTCCCACACCTGGCGGCCACCATCGATTTGTTATTGTCGACGCCTCGGCTTGTCCTTGGGGCTTCACTGGAAGATTCAAGGGGGGGGGGCCAAGACATCAAACGTCCTGACCTGCGTTCGCGACGGGGCTACCCAGAGGTCTGGATCCCTTGCCAGGAAGCGGCGTTTCATCCTGAGTTCGTTCGTTGGCGGTCCTGGGGCCCAGTGGCTGCCCCTCGAGAACGAACACTACCAACCACCCCGCGAACTGCTGTTCCCCTATGACGCGAGGACGTCGGGCCCCGGTCGCCCCCGAGAGACCCCTGGGAGACCTCGCGGACACCCGGCGTCGCGGATCACGCAGCACGACGCGCGAGGCGCAGTACTTCCAGCCGAAGCGTGGTCACAAAAGCGCGGGTCGGGAGTCAGGAGCCTCGCTGGAGGCCCAGTTGCCCAGGGAGGTGCCGAAGACGAGCCACATGCCAGAGGCGGAGGTCCCAGCCAAAAAGAACAGAAAGGACCCCCGCCCAAACTGAGAGGGCCCTGCGCACCTTCGCGCGCTCGCGCCGCCTCCCCCCTCCAGACTCCCGACACCATGATTTGCTCATGGCGTGGCCCCCCAAAGGTCTGGACCCATTCCCCGGGAGCCGCGTTTCGCCCCGAAAAGCTGTTTGGACACTCCCGAGGCTCAGGCGGGGCCACACACAAGCCGAAAATAGCGGAACGCCTCCCGTCATTTGTTGTTTGGCCATGACATGATGGGGCGTGGGCCAGGAGAATCAGAACAAGCGGGCGGGTTCCGCGGCCCGGGACCGCGAGGCGCGACCTGTCGGCGTGCCCCCCCGCGGCCCGCCGGTGGCCGGGATATCTGGGCGCTCCGAACCCGAGCAGTCGGCCTCCTGCCACTTCCGAGCGGGGGAAGAGGGGAGGGGGCGGGTAGACAAGGAATGGGGAGGAGGAGGAAGAGGAGGAGGAGGAGGAGGGGGAGGAGGAGGAGGAGAGGAGGAGGAGGAGGAGGAAGAGGAAGAGAGAGGAGGAGGAGAGGGGGAGGAGGTGGAAGAGGATGTAAGGAGGACGCGAGGAGGAGGAGGAGGAGGAGGAGGTGGAGGTGGAGGAGGAGGAGGAGGAGAAGGCGGAGGGGGAGGAGGCGGGGAGAGGAGGAGAAAGAGGACGAGGAGGACGATGATGATGATGATGATGATGATGATGATGATGATGATGAGGAGGAGGAGGAGGAGGAGGAGGAGGAGGAGGAGGCGGAGGGAGGAGGAGGCGGCGGAGGGAGGAGGAGAAAGAGGACGACGAAAAGGAGGACGAGAAGCAGGATTACGAGGAGGAGGAGGGGGAGGAGGAGGAGGAGGAGGGGGAGGAGGAGGAGAAGGAGGAGGAGGAGGAAGAGGAGGCTGGCTGGCTGGCAATCTGCATATGGCCTCGATCCCAGTGTCAACAGGTCCGCTTGGCCGCAGGGCGGTCGGGGAGACGCCATGCACCCCATCGATGTCAAACGTATCGGGAGCCCCTTCCCCACACGTAGATGGGGACTCCCTAAGTGTGGTGCAGGGTCGAGAGGCCTGCACGCACAGATCAGAACATGAAAGATCCTCTCGGATCGCGGAGTGACGCAGCAGGAGGAAGAGAGGGGACGGGCAGCCAGGCATCCACGGCAGGTGAACCGTGGCAAAACTCAAACAGAACAAAATCTCGCCTCAAACTTGTACAAACTACTGTTTCTCGAAACAACAAGCCCACGCGCACCCCTTGCGCGTCAAAAAAAGGAGACACAAGCGAAAACGATATCATTGTTTGCCTTGCCTCGTTGCTTTGCCTTTGCCCCGAGAGCGCCCTTTACCTTGTGGCCTAATCATGGGATCCCACTCGCCTTGAAACCGCACCAGGCCTCGCTCAGAGAAAGATCCGATGGCGCCAGGAGGACGCGATGGCGCCAGGAGGACGCGAGAGGGTCGAAGGGGAGCTCCCAGGAGGAAAAGGAGAGGTGTCAGGGACGTCATTTACCACTTCTTGTGGCGAGCCCCTCGAAGCATTCTCTCGAGCGAGTTCTGGACCCTGCGTCCCTGCGTCGTGCGAGGGGGAGGTCCCATTTTCGGCTGGCTCCCCAGGGCAAGAAAAAGAGCGACTATAACTGCATTCATGGGAGTCATGAGACCCCCTGTCCCTTGAATCCAGGAGTTCACAAAAAACGCGTGACGAACCAACTGTGGGGCTCCGTCTCTCTGAAAGGTCGTTTTGGCCCTCCAGTACTTGAGAGTCTCGCATGCGACTGGCAAGGGCTGGGCGGTCACTGCTTGAATCAGGCCTGTAAAGGCCTTCAGATGGCTCTGGTACTCCTGCTTCGCGGTGAGTTCGTCGAGGGCGCACGTCGCTTTCAGCGCCGCCAAACTGACGTGGAGACTCGGGGGCCCTTGATCGTGATCGCCCTTGCCCGCGGTCTTCTCCTGATATTGTTGAGCAGCGGCCACCGCGACTCCGTTCAGAACGTGCTCCTTCGGCAAGGGGTGCGTGGTCAGCAGACATCCTTCCACTCCGCGTAGGCGCTGAGATGTGTTGAGGAATCCTTTCATCATCTCCTGGGCTGCGTCGTCCTCCGCGTCGCTGCCGCCCTCGGGATGCTGGGTGCCCTTTGCCGTCGCAGGTGGCGCCGCGCGCCTGTCCTTGCGATCGCGCCGCACGCCGCTGCCGCCAGCGCTGAATGAGGGCTGCGCTGAAGGCTCCGCCAGGCGTTTCTTCGCCTTCTCGACCTCCACTGGGGTCACCTCCATGGCCCACGTCATCGACTAGGAAGGAAAGGGTTGCGTCGGGAAGGGCAACGTGAGAGCGAACGTGAACCTGCAGAGCCTCAAGCGACGGATGATCAACACTGCAGGCGGGACACTGGAAACTGTCAGGCAACTTCACGGGGTGATGCACAGGGCTTCGGTCGCACTGACAACGACGATGTCAGAACAGACGCCGAACATGCTGCCGAGAAATCGCAACAGTAGAGTGAGTACTCATACACCATGGGCACTGATTGGTAACCGTGAGGAGCTGAGAAAGAGCACGGTGCCCATGACTGCCCTCAGTACAGAAACGCATATGTGCATGCCGCGCCGTTTGATCACAAAACTCTAGCCCACAGACACTGCCATCATCACGGGATTCTTGGCATCGCCAAACACGAGGGGGGGAAGTGGAACGGGGTCAGAAACATCCTCTCCTCCTGTGTCCTGCGCCCCCTGCCCCGCTCCTTGTCCTCGTCGAACCCCCTTCTCATCAATGCGTCCTTCCCAGCACAGTTTCCGAAGCTGGCCGAAGTTGGGTTCCGAAAATCGGACTCCAAACTCCTCCGTGAACACTCGAAAGGGCATATGGCCAAGATTAACGAGAAGCTCAGGGCCCCGTTCAACCAGCGGGAGCATTTTGAGATCAGTGAAGGCCTGGAGTGCCCAGGGGTTCCCAGTACAGAGCCCAGCGTCGTCTCGAACAAGGGTATAGTTTTCAACCGTGGCTCGCTCCTCCCCACTCATTTGGCCGAAAAGAGCCGCCAGAAGCTGGACATTCTCGCGGCGGTGCCGCGCCAGCTGTTGTAGCCAGTGCAATCGTCGGATGCGAAGCTCCAGCTGCGTCGGGATCAGTCCAAGCTTGACCCAAATTCGGTGCGGGAGGAGGCCGACGTGCTTGAGTGTGCCGTCTGCCATCGAGATCTTCCGCACGGCTGCCCCTTTGAGCAACGTGCGGCCCCACTTGAGAAGCAACCCGTCGGCAAGGTTAAAGTCGCTGGGCGAGAGAATGAACGCCTCAAGACCACTGAGACCTGCTGACTGCACGCGTGCTTGAAACACAAGAAGTTGAATACGCAACGGAACGTGCTTGACAAACCACAACCGACCCATAGAATGCCACGCACTGCGCATGTTCTTGAGGATGAGCTGTCGTTGTTGTGCTATTGTACCTGTGCCTGCGTACTGAACGCCGAGATACTTCGCATGCGCGCCCACTGTGCCTGGAAGACCCCGAAGGGGGTCAGTGAACGCACGAGACCCCTTAAAAGCGCCAGGCCCCACGAACCGCGGTGCCGTGACCTGCTTGTCAACATTAAGAGCGCCGCCTGCCTGTGCTAGCAGCTGAGCCAGACTGTTGGTGGCATGACGGGTCTCGCCACCCATCGCCTCGGCTGAGATGGCCACGACCTTGTGTGCAGCATCGTCAAGATATACTGTACTAGATAAGTCAATCGTAAGATCCTCAATGTCATTCATGGGGCTCGTGCACATAAGGTCCTGTCCTCCTGGTCTGGCTCTGCGCGCCTCTAGCCAAGGCACTGGCACACTGCGGTCGTAGCTACGTATGTTTTTCACGGGCGCAGACTGGTGCCCCGGGAGAACCCCTTCTTGAATTTGAAACGTGCCGGCCCCATCGGACCCGCCCAAGGTAACCGTGCGAAAATGATTGCTGTGCTGTCCGAAAAACACGCCCTCGGGGTGCATGTGCAAGTAGTCAGTTTCGCCCAGGATGTCTGCGCGGATGCTGCCGAAGTCAGTGGCCTGATCAAAAAAGAGTGTGCTATGCGACTTGCGGAGACGGGCCAGTCGCCAGCTCGTAATGAGCTGGATCTGGGTCGCAGACTCTCGGCGTCGGTGCCGAACTCCGCCGTGCAAATGGTACGAATAGTCTCGCCCTGGGTAACACTGATCGCCTCGGAGGCCTAAATACTTCGCATATGCCTTACTGAAAGGGCACATC